CCAGCCTCTCTGCAAGGGGGGCTTCCAGAAGGATCACAGGCGTGGAGATCCTACGGAGAAGTCCTGCTCTGTCTGGCGGGGTGGGTTCCGGCTGGAATCTTGCCAAAGGCAGTGGGTTTAGTGTTGTGTGTTTTTCCTCCCCCCCACACACACCTGCTCCCACCAAACCCTGGCATTTGTTTATCCTCAAGGTCTTCTTGCTATCTTTTTCTTTCTTTTACTTTGTATCGTGGCTTAGGGAGCGTTTGATGGGGCAGAGCAGTTTCTGTTCCACAACAGAGACGTGTTCATGGGCTTCATTGCTACCCCACAACACTCCGTCCCTCATCACACTTCTCCCTGTGTTTCCTACTTCCATCCCGGCTCCTCTCCTTTGACCTTGGGCAAATGCTGACTTTTGCTCTCAAGTGGTTGCTCACCAAAATGGGCAGACCTCCCACGTGTTCCTGTTCCCCTTATAGACCTGTCACGGGAGAAAGACGATGCGTTCCACTCCCGTAAAGAGTTACAGTCTCAGAAACCCACAGGGACAGTTTGACCCTGTCCTGTAGGGTCCCTGTGAGTCATCAGAATCTACTCAATGCCCATGAGTTCGGTTGATAGATCGACCTGTCAATTATTTGGTCAAAAACTGAGCCACGGAGGTGTGGACTCATGCTGGACCTGAAGGGTGAGGAAGGGCCATAGGCTCAGGGGATCCCTAGCCTCCATCCAACCCAGAAACCTCCACGTCTTTCTCCACTCTCCGGGACGTTCTAGTGGGATCCCTGCCACCGCAGTTGGTGGTAGTGGTAGCTGGGCACCATCTAGTGCAGTGGTTCTCAACTTCCTAGTTTCTCATGTCATGATGACCTCAACTATAAAATGATTTTCATTGCTACTTCATAACTGTCATTTTGCAACTGTTATGAATCATAATGTAAATATCTGATATGCCGGATGTATTCTGATTGTTACAAGTTGAACATAATTAATGCATAGTGATTAATCACAAAAAACATATATAATCATATACTGTGAAATATTCATTTCTAATGACAAGTCAATGAAGTTTTGTCTTGAAGCATGGTGTAGCATGGGTAACAGTCTTAATATAACAACAGCAAACTACATCGCTACATTCTGCGACAGTCTGTGTAAAAAGCCAACATCAGTGCGAAGGTTGAGAGAGCGTCTTTCTCACCAGATCAGCACGTCTGCATGGGGGTGGATCCGCCTGGAGACAGACAGAGGACTGGTATCTGGGTTCTTAAAGACCATGGGAAATGTGTGTTTTCCGATGGTCTTAGGTGACCCCTGTGAAAGGGTCATTCGGACCCCCAAAGGGATCAAGACCCTCAGGTTGGGAACCGTTGGTCTAGTTCCTTGGGGCTCAGGATCATGGGCTCTGATGTCCTCGGACTGATGGTCTTCAGGTGTCTGCGATTTTCATGAGCTTTCTTCCCCCGGGTGGGCGGGGAGTCCCTGTGTTAAACCTCAGAGGGCCAGTGACTAGCTTCTAAGACCCTGGTCACCTCTCACAAAGTGGGCTGTGGAGACCAAGGTCCCAAGCCCCTGAGCACACTCTTCCCCCCCAGCTTGTGTCAGTGTAAGGCATCCCCGTCATCCTG